GTAATGAACCTCATGGTTTATACTTGAATTAGCATGAATTACTAAAATATTCAGTGTTATCATTGTAAAACAAGAACTTAGTGATATTGATCATGAGGTTTGATCATGTAAAGGGTAAAATGAAATCATAAAGGGTATAATTGTCCTGTTTTTGTAAAAATCACCAAAAATTGTAGAAAAATCGTATGGATATGTGCTCTATATCCCTGGAAAGATAAGAATGTGTACATTGATTTTTGTTTTAAAACCAAAATCTAATTCCGGACTTAAGATGGGTGAAAAGAGTTACATGTTCAGTGCACTAAGGCTGAATTTTGACAGCTTTGGGACATTTTGACAGCTTTGGGATGCTGTGTTGTAAAATTCATAGTAAAGAGAAAAATCATAAAAATGTGAGGTCAGTGGCATTAGAAAGATATAAGAGTATATTTTGTTAATATTTAGAATTTGTTAGTTATTTTGATATTTAAAAAGGGTAAAACAGATCTGCAAGTGACAACTGTACAAAGAACAAAAACTAAAATTTCCAAATTGAAAACAACATAACTTGAGATTAGTTGAGTAATTGCTTATGAAATCTGAAATATGAACTCCAGGGATATAATTGAAGGTTTTAGAGGCCTAGGGATGGTGTAAATTTCATCATAATTCAGAATTCTATCGCAATATTCGGTTACAGCACAGTGAGTTCAATATATAGGAACAATTGTATGTTATGTGTTATATGTGCTATTTGCTTTTCCGTGTTATCATCTCGTGTTATTATTTCTGCTATTATGATAGCAAAGTTGTACCTTTGACCATGTGATCAGTGAAATGATTTAGATTCACGGTGGTACTGGTATGTAGCCTCTGGCCATGTAGAGCATGTCTCGTAAGAGAATGACTTCTATTCTATGGCATTGGCGGAAGGTTAGATAGGGCTAAAAGCCTGAAATATACCAAAATATTAATCAGAAATTGTATGTCTTCTGTGCCATTTGGGCCGAAGCTTTATTGATGCATATCAAGTATTGAAATTGTAATGTCTCATTGATTGGATATCTTTGAATCAAATCATTGATTGATATGGAAAGTTTGTCACATGATTCACATATGCCTTTGTTGTTCTGTGTTCCTGTTTGCTTCTGTCATATTGGTATATATACGGCATAACCTTATATTGTATCTATTTTTGAACTCACAAAGCATTACTGCTTATCCCTCTCAGTGTTTAATTATTGCAGGTGATATGCATCCAATATAGTTATATACTGTTTGTAGAATAGATAACATTATAACTTTTATATTTAGTGTATAAATTCATGGGAAATTATGCAATATAGTCGGTTTGTATCCAGTCTTTTGTAATTAAACTATCAATGTAAAATATTGTTTATGAATATGCATGTAGCATGTTTGGAATAATATTGTAAAGTTTAAAAAGGGGTTCTTTCAATTCAACAATTTCCTTTTGAGTCTTCGGGCATGCCACTTGATTCTTTTGAGGAGCATATTCTATGGTAACATTGGAAATGCCTTCATTATGCTCTCTCATGAAAGACAATAAATCAAGAAAAATCCCTCTATTAAGGGAACCACTCGACTCATCATGACCCCGAAATGGTAAACTATTTTTCAACAAAAATTTACAACACCAAATTGAAGCACCTAAACAAAGTTAATAGTTACTCTCCTCAATTTTGGTTTGCTTCTTAAAGGTTGCACTAATATACGTCTTTTCTTTCATTAGAAATTCACAATTTTCTCTTGCTTTGTGTTGAAAACTATCAATATCACCCATATGATCTCTCATTTCTTTTTTTTTTTTTTTTATTCAGAGTATCAAAACCTTGTGAAAAAATGCATCTATCCCTATTTTTTGTCATATGATGTCTCCACCTACATAGAAAAATAAACAAAATGCTTTTGTAACACCCGCAAATCAGGGCTAGATGCTTAAGATATTATAAGCGTTAAAAATTGACTTTTTGATAGAAGATTAATTAAGATAAATAATCTTAACCACAATTATAGTATATCTCTCAAGGATTCCATACATATAAAGAACGCCTAAATCCGACTTCATGAGAAGAAGTTATGATTTTTCTAATATTTTAGCGTAGCAGTATACGACTCATAAATCGAAATTCGAATCGGTTAATTGTCAGGAAAAACAATCTAAATGACAGTTGAAGATCTTTCAATATGTACTGGTTGATATAAAGAGACTCGAGAACGGATGTCATATAAGAGAGTTATAAAATTTTAAAAGACATTGACAGTCTAAACCTGTTAAAAATATAGCTTTAAAAATAAACTCAAAACTAGCCGACGGAGTCTAAATGAAAGTTGTAGATCTCGTCGATAGCTATTCGTAGATATAAAATCCATTGAAAATCGAACTCCTATGAAGAATATATGAACTTTTCGGGGAACAAAAGTTCTTCAGGTGCACCCGCGCGCAACGACATAATGCGTCGCGCACACTACCACTCCACCCTGAGTGCCACACGTGGTAGCACGCAGAGAACGACACGCCATCACTTCCAACCAAATGCACGGCACGTAGGGGACCAAGTGTGCAACATGCAGTCCATATTCAGCTATAAATATGAGGCGAATCTCAGACCATTCCGACACCTTCCAAACGTTTCTTTCTCTATTTCTCTCAATTTTTAAGCCCTTTCTCCCTTAAGTTTTTACTCGAAGAAGCCTCGCAGTGTTAGATAGCTAGAGATTAGAAGTTATTTAGTGTGAGTTTTGTTTTCTTAGTTCCCAATTGTCATCAGTGTGCTCTATAAGTTAAGCAACACTTATTTTGTTTTAAGTGTAACTTTTAATTATATTCATAGTCGTTATTATTAGACAAAATTGCAAGAGTGGTCCCTGTGGTATGTTAAAACTAGCAACTTTGGTCCAAAATGAGTTTGGCTCGCAAGGATGGTCCAATAGTTTCGTTTTGTTGCGAGTTTAGTCCACTTTCCTATGAATTTTTTTATAATGATGGATTTGCCCCTAATTATTTTATTTTCCATTTTTCTTTTATTACAACAATTAAAAAACAATTGAAAATAAAATATTTCTCTCTTACTCTCTCTCTCTCTCTCCCTCACTCTCTCTCTCTCTCATTAGTGCCCATTCCTTCCTTATTACTTTTCCTTAACAAAAGCTCTTTAATCGTTTCTTCTCCAAAAATTCATGAAGAACATCAAATTAGATACAAGAATCTACCATAAGAGCCAGAACAACACCAGATCTCTTTTCAAGCTTTTCCAACAAAACCCAGATCTCATGTCAAGCTTCTTCTGGTGAACCTCCGAAGATGCGACTCCTGTGTTGGAATAGTGTCTAAGTCCATAATTATTTTGGTATGTACTTGACCCGATGGTGCATGGTCCTTTTGGGGTGCCTTCACCAAAGCAACTTGATAGGATGAATTATGGAGAGAAAGGATTAAATATGATTTATTAATATATTATGAGAATAATATATTAAAGGAGAAATCATATTGTTTAATTAATATTAGTTAATAATTAATTGGTAATTAGTTTTGTGACTAAAAGAGATTAATTAAACTTAAGCGACTGGAATTGTAATTATAAGATAATTGCAATTGGGGCATGGATTGCCTTATATTAAGGAGTGGACGAATTCTATGGGAAAGCCCATGAGGAAATCATCCAAGGCCTTAAGGAACGGAATCTATGGGTTGCTTAGGGCTTAAGCATCCAATTTAGGGTTTTGTTGTTAGATAACCCTAATAGCCTCCTATATATAGAGATCCCTTATGACCCAAAAATATGGCTAAGCATCCCTCTAGGGTTTCACACATTTTAGGGCAGCTTCCATCCTATCTCCTCCTCATCCTCTTGCTCTTGGTGTTTGTGAACCATTAGAGGAGTGACATTTGTGACTCTAAGCTTTCTAAAGTCAATACAACGAGGAATTGGGATTGTTATTGCTACATAACAATCAAGGTAATGTCTTAAACGCATTCTTATGTTAATATGATTACATGTAGGGTTTATAGTCTTGGATAACTTGCATGTACAATAGAGAAACCTAGATTCAAGCATTAGGGTTTGTATGAGCACATAGGATGTTCTTATGACCAAAACCCATCAGTGGTATCAGAGCCTAGATTGGTTTCTATTGTATTGATGCTTTGTATGATTGAAAAATTTGATTTTTGTGTTTCTGGGGGCTGGACTCGCCGAGTTCATGCTGACTCGACGAGTCCATTCCTAACTTGGCGAGTCGGCTGGTCAGATGGAGGGAAAACCGGGATTTCTTACTGTTTTTGCTTAAGGATAGTTGCCTTATCATATTAGATCAATATAAATCCGATTTTATGATATATTTGACTATATTCTTGATCTTATTAAAGATATTTATCAATTAATAAAATATTTGTTTCCCTATGTGATAATTGATTAATTATTTTGATCAAATTGGTAAATTGTTTTGCAAGAAATCATTACACTACTAGAAAAACAGCCTTTTACGATGCTCATTGCGCGTCATAAAAGGCTCAGACGACGCGCAAATGCGCGTCAAGGAAGGCCCTGTCATAAAGAGAGACGATGCGCATTTACGACGCTCATTTACGACGCACAATTACGACGCGCGTTTACGACACCCAATGCGTATCAAGGAAGGCCCTGTCATAAAGGAAGACAACACACATTGGCGTGTCGTAACCTTACGACGCGTGTGTTAATGACACGCAATGCGTATCAAGAAAGCCCCTGTCAAGAAAGGCCATGTCATAAATGAAGATGACACATATTTTTGCGTATCATAATTTTAAATGCTTAAAAAAGTATTATTTATAGATTTACTAATTTTTAAATTAAATAATACATTAAAATTCTCACAATACAAAATAAAATACCATAAATAACAAAGATAATTCATTTCACTAATATGTCATACAAATAATTTTTCCAAAAGTGAGTAAATGTTATAAAAAAATGAACTCATTTATATACAATTGCATCATCTAGCTTACTATGTGCCAACAACTCTCTATGTGTTTACTTTTGCTTGAGTCTCGTTTCCTCCAAAGCTTCCAAATCATCTGGAGTTAGATGGATATCACATATGGATAGTCCTTTGCTAGAAACAGGCTTCACAAAGTCGCTAAGACTGTGCCTGCAAATTCCAAATCAGACATCCATCATGTTCATATTAACTGTCTATCTATGCAAAAGTCTTATAAATGAAATAATGCCCTCTCAGCCTAAAAGATTAGAATGTCCAATGAAGTACTTATCTACCTACTTGATGGGCTATGCTGAAAATCTACTTTCGACTGTAGAAGTACCAATAAGTGATTGTATCACAAACATATAAACTTCTTAAGCCTGCCTGCTACTGCTGACAAAATAACTGTTTAGGGTTTAAGATTTTATTATTTATAATTATACATGCACAAGATAAGACCTATTACCATTGTTTCTCCACTTCGTGACTGATCTACAACCTAAATGTCATGTGTTGTTATTGTAGAGATGTAACTTCTAACTTTTTTTTTCTTTAAGGGAAGAGGAAATGGAAAATGACAGACATACAGGGAAGCCATTGTGACTGTTAGTCCTCATAATAGCGGCTACATCAGCAAATTTCACCACACGAGTGAAGTGACAAAGTTACAAACTTGTCAACTTTCACCAACAGCCTAAGGAAGGTAAATGGTCAAAACTCAAAACTCAAAACTAAAACTTATTGTACTCATCAATTTAATTCTAATTGTAACTTGTAAGCAAAATAAAAGAAAAAACTTACTTTTGATATGAGGAGAACAAGCATGATAAGAGGTAAGAGATTTAAATTATTTGTAATTTCAACCATAATAACACAAAGTGAGACTGCCATTCTCATTGAACCTCCTAGAAACGAGGCAGCTCCAAGCAAAGCATATCTGTCAGGTGTCAATTATAAATTATCAACTGGATATATATATATATATATATATATATATATATATATATATATATATATATATAAAGAAAAGATAAAAGATGAGTGTGAAGTGAACTCACATTCCTTTTTCAATGTTGAGCTTTTCATAGAGTCTAACAACAAACCTGCCAACAAGGTGTCCATATGTAGATCCAATCATTATACCTGGAACAAATTGGCCAGCTGGAACAGCAATACGAAATGTCACCACAGCTAAACCATAGAACATAACCTGAGGAGGAGCAACACACATGCAAAACAATAACGGATTTAACACTCTCATCTTTTAATTTAGTTAGCATTGTATTTGTATATCATCAATCTTAGATTTGTAATTTCTTTGTTTGGTTACTTTTTCTCTTTTACTTAAAATTCAATACTTTTCATTCAAACTTATTTTTTAAATGTTAAAACTACAAAACAAATAGAAACTGTCTTTCACAATACCAAATACAACAAGAGCATAGAAGGGACATCCTTCATACAAGTTGACAGTGTGGCAACCATTCACGAATAGTAGGGTAGCAGTTCCAGAGATGTTCTGGGCACGTTGAACAACGTGTGTACGAGTTTTTTGCGGGAAGCTTTTGAGTTTAAATAACAAAATTCCACCTGATTTTTTTTAAAAGGTAATTATAATTAAAAAAAACAGTTAAAAGAATGGAAGCAGAGAGAGTCTGTAAGGAAAATTTATGTTATGGAGGGAAGAGGACTTACAGTCAATTGGTCAATTAAGTCACGACTCACACAGCCAGGAAGCCTCTGTATTAAGCCATCGAAGTTGGTTCCTTCAGGAACACAAAGCTTCTCTTTTTCAATTTCAGTTTTTATTTCACCATCTTTTTCTTTTTCTTTTTCTTTTCCTTTATCTGTTTCTTCATCATCTTTCTTTTTCTCACTTACAGATGTCTCTGCAGTATCTTGGGCAGCAATCTGACCTTGATCAGACTCAGGTGTTGTTGAGTCCTGCATAATATATTTATTTCTTGCCAATTAAAAACTTTTTTACTAGTTTTTTTAAAAGAACTTACACTTGGTTGATCTGATGCTTTTGATCACTGATCATTCCCTTTTTGCTCTGCTTCTCCCAATAACACAGCCGGAACAAATGCCCTAGAAACAAAAAAAAAATGTGTTTTTTTCTCATTATTACAATTTGTGGTTTTGAAATGTATTATAGTAAACACTTGCATACCTGAGATCAGGTAAACATTCATAAAAACTTTTTTGTATCTTCATCATCCCACAAAGCTTGAGCAACAGAAGCCTCTTTTCCAGTACCAGGAGATGAGACATCATCACCTGTTGTGAGCCTCGTGTGACCATCCTCTGGCATCACAGGTGGTTACATATCAAGTGCTTCTGCTAACCTAATCTCACCAAAAATTTGAACAAAATTAAATATGTATCTGTAAAAAAAAAGATATACAAATAGTAAATATTTTATTTTTTTACTTACAGAGAAACACCTCGATAAAGTTGGTCGTAATGGATATCATCAACTATAGCATCTTATGCAAAAACTTATCCACAAGTTAAATGCATGAAACAGCAACACTGCATTTTTAATTCATTTAATTGTGTATTATAACAAAACATCATACTTTCAATTATTTTCTTATCAAGGAAATGTGATTGAAAAATACATGTAATCATAGCATTGTTTTTTTTATTAGGGCATCATATATTGAAGTCCTCAACCACACATAGGGACTTTCATTTATTTTTCCTTCTTGGGTAACACAAAAAGTTACAATTTTTTTTCCCTAATACATGATGCGTCTTCAGTCTTCACACATACCAAAGTGATAGAGATTTTAGTTAGAATAGAATCTCGCAGTTGTATATGCAATAAGGTAATGAAATGCAGTCCAGGCAGGCATCATAGGGACATTACACTAGTTGAATGGAGCTCCACAGAACCTGAATCATTATTGGCCTGCTGCATATAAAAAGTTGTAATTTCTCATAAAAAAAACTCAATGGCATAATAAATATATTACATATACAAAAGTTAGATTGAGATACCTCAAATATCAAGTCCTTTCTGGTGATCATGCTAATCACATGAGAAGTACGTGGATTGTATGGATTTTGTAAACCAATAGCAGGAGGTGGGGAGGCTCCTGATCGGGAGTGGTTCTTCAGTACGTGGGTTATAAGAGAACCCAATTCACAGGTTGTCAAGTCGAAAACTGCTATTGGTAGTGGTTCTTCAGTATCTAGACCAATTGGATTACAGACCATGGAACTTTCAAGATTCAGCTGAAGCTGCAGATGTGATACCCAAAGAACTTGCGTTCTAAAATAACACATATTAAGAAAAAATCAGAATTTCTAAATATATAATATAGAAATATAATACACACAACAATTTATATCCTGATTAGATTCTCATTTAGCCTTTGGACTAGAGACTTGAGCATTAGCATTGGCCACCTCATTAGCAAACATGTCCTCTTAAATATTCTTCATATTGATAATCATATTTTTTTTAGTTAATCCAGAGCTTTTTTAGAAAATCGATTCCATGGTGGAATTAGAGACATTTCCTTGTCCATCTCCTTCAATGCCTAGAGTGACCATACCCCAGCTTCAATAATGTCACACCCCAAAACCAAGAATGGCGGAAACGTTCTAGGGCGGAGGACGTCATGTAAAGTATCACAACACAGTAAATGTAAATAAGCAAACAACATCATCCATTGCATTAAATATAAAATTTTAATACAAGCGTGTTCCGTACAGTTTTAGACACCAAAAATATAATGTAAATCAAAATAGTATGATGAGTCTTGAATGCGCTCCATCTTCTCAAAAGCTAGCATCGGTACCTATCTACTGATGACCTGAGAATACAAGTTATTTTGAAAGAGTTTATCAGCATTAAGCTGGTGAATTCATAAGTATTTTAGTGTCGAGGTTTGTTATCAAAACGTTTGAACCTGTCGCAAGTATGAGTTGTAAATGTATGTAAGTGTTTGTAAAAGTTTGAATCTCTCAGAAAAACCTATATTTTCTGTTAAAGTAGCCATCTACCGAGGCTTAACTGTTTTGTATGCTCGTTTGATGTAAAAGTGTGTAATTTACCAAGTGTAACTATCATTTAACAAAATATAGTTTGTACATTAAAGTTTAAGTGAGGTTATCACCAAATGTAATGGGTAAATTATTGTAGTACGGTAGTTTTGTTTTATAGGAACTACTGCTGTACTAACTACCTTAAACCGGGTTTATATTAAGGTATCATGTGATAAATTGCACCATACTATCGACTGGTAACAACGACAACGTATAGTCAAAAAATAAGGTATGACGTTTGGCACCCGCAGACCTGTCGGTCCCACTGTAGCTAGCAGCGAGGTGTAGGATAGTCAATCCAGTATAGATCTATACGCAAACTCACGCTCTCCCTCCAAGAGACTCTGGCTACAACTCGGGTCATGACAATTAAGACATGCTCCCATACAGTGGATCACAATTGTTAACGTATTCGTGTATATGCAATATAATGTTACTTGTTCTAGTATCGTTGTATATGTTCTCTTAGTAATAAGTATTGACTCCTGAATGAACTGACTCATTGATCTAGAAATTGTAGTAGTATGATCCCGTGTTACCCCGATGGTAACTTACTAATGATGTCCTGATAAGTATGAATATGGAAGTACTTTTATGTCTATACATGTATATATGATATATAACTAATATTGAAACGACCCTCGGATGGTCACCCGAAATCCCACCAGACCACATCTCAGTGCGCGAAAAGGAAATAGGGTGGATGGCCTTCCTAAGCCCTTTAAACATTACTTATATATCTATACATATATGGGCATGCAATTTATAAGTAGTAAAACAAAGTTTAAATAAAAGCATTTGAAGTAAAACAGTTTGAACAGTGATAACAATCATTGGTTTCCTAGTTATTAATCACATGTGATTAATGCAATCACATGTGATCGAAGCAATAACTATAAGTGTTTAACTTGTATCCCCCCCATAAAGTATTTAAAACATTTAAAAGCATTTCAAAGGTTGAATAAAGGGGTATGAACTCACTTGGAAATTTGAAGATAGCGAGATCGAAAACCGGGCAAAGTTTCGTCTCGGGAAACGGATTTTTCTCGGGATTCTCGGGAATCTCGGGAGTAAAATCAACCCTCGGGACTTGAGCAAAAATGACCAGGGCTTCGGGGTAGTGCGAGCACGGAAAACGAGGTAAAACGCAAGAAAAAGGAGAGTGAATGAGCAATTTTTCCGGAACCCCTCGCACCCCTTTTATAGGGGGCTGGAAGGCCCTCGTACGCGGGGCGTACTCCCGTATGCGGCGCGTACGGGACGTCACTGCTTACGTATTTCGGATGGGGCGGGTCGGATGGGACGGCGGGTCGGGTAGCTTCGCATAGGGCGACGTGGACGATCCGAGGCCGTGCCCTCGAGTACGCGGGGCGTACGAGGGTACGCGGCGCGTACCTCGGCCCTAGGCTGTCTCCTCTTCGGATAATACCGAATTTTTAATAAAAATTATATATAAATTATTTATCAAACTTCAAAAATTCATATCTCCTTCATACGAACTCCGTTTTCGACGTTCTTTATATCCCCGCGAAGGTGAGACTACGATCTACAACTTTCGTTTAGATTCCGTTGGCAAATTCCGAAATTATTTTTATTATTTATTTATTAAAATGACGTGATTAAGGAATTTCTTTAAAAATTCATAACTTCTTTATCTGACGTCGGTTTTTGCCAGACTTTTTACCGTTGAAATACCATTGTCGAGACCTTCGATTCTCGTTTAGGTCATTCCGGCCAAATGTCGCTCGATCTTCGTTTCGAGTTTTTAGCTGTCTGTTGCTAAGCTGAACTTGGAAAAATCATAACTTCAATATACGAAGTCGGATTTGGGCGTTCTTTTTACGTACGATCATGGTTTAATGATATTTAAACATAGAAGAATTTAAATAGAAACTTTTTGGACATTTTATTATCAAAGTTAGTTTTATTAACTCAAAAATGTTTACAATACTTGACCTATTAGGCCATTACAAAGAGTTGAAATATCGGGTTGTCACAAATAACATGACAAATAGAGTTCCTGCTTTGGTTGTCAAACCTACAGCAACAACAAAGAAAGATGTCAAACTTAATAACTAAGGGTATCCTTAATTAAAACAAAATACATTTCACCATCTTTGATGAGATTGTTAATAAGTTGAATAGCTGCTAAACAGCCATCACAAATAAACATTGATTTAGTAGTAAAACTGAACCTAAATTCCAAGTCTTGTAGTTCAATTATCTTGTTCTCGAGTCCTTTTGGTGCATATCGACATGAAAGGTAGCCAAAAGTAGTCTCATCTGGGTGAAAAGCTAACATAGACATTATGTCAAACACCTTGTGGGCGTGCATCGGTAACTGACCTAACAGAGACTGATTCGTGTTCACGGCGATACCCTCCAAATCAGCTTTAAGAGTAGACAAATTAAGTGTGTGATATATCACCAATAGTTCTGATATTACATAAGAAAATGATAAAGTAAGAGAAAGAAACCTAGAGTACATACATGGAGAAGAAGAGAATGATATTCAAACCTGGGGCCTCTTCCATTTTTGCTTCCTAATTTCCGATGCTTCCAATCTGACCATGAACCTCCGACTTCTAATCCCAAATCTAAACTTCAACCTTCGATTTATGATCTTCAACCTCTAACTTAATCATATAATCTAATGCCATCATGAAGCCTGATTCCATCTGATCAACTTGTTTTCCAATCACGCTTTGTGCAGCCAACAGCACCCTAACTCCTCAGATTCTTCATCCATTTGGTCATCTTCCAACTGTTGTATAAATAGACATTGGGTTGAATTTCAATTAGGATGGTTATGAAATGAAATGGTCTCCAAATCAATTCTATGAAGTCAAATGCTTGACGATTTGGGTAAAATCGAAGTATAAGTATATTTTTTTCATGTGCCCACCAAATGACTGATGAAATGTTACAACGAGAGAAATTCAATAAAGTAAGGAATTTGAAGTTGGAGTTAAAGCATGTCTTAGAAGGTTAGCCATCTCTTCAAGAACAGACGTAACTTTTTCACCTCCTTTAAGGAGAGCTTCATACTGAGCAGGAGTCCAAGTACTCCAAGTACATGTTTTTAGCTTAAGACCTGATGCACCAAAACGGATTACACAGTTTATCAGATTACACTGGATGCAGCAAAACGAAGTAACATATAGAACTATGTTTCATGGATCTGGGATTCAAAAACACAAACCCAATGCTTCGTTCTTTAATCTTGTGGTATAATAGGGCTTTATTGGTGGTGGTGGTGAACCAGAGAGAAGACGAAGGGTGGTGGGTGCCTAGGTTGTTGTCGAACAGTAGGGGGTAGAGAGAGAGAGAGAGAGAGAGAGAGAGAGAGACTTGTAGTTGGTCGTGTATTACTTGCATCAAATTGAAATTAAGGGAATGTTGATTTTATAAGATGACTTTGAATCGACCTAGGTTTTCCCTAACTTGTGTTTGAAAAACCATTTTTTGTGGTTAATGGAAGAGAGAGAGAGAGAGAGATAGAGAGAGAGAGAGATTTGTTACAGATATGGCGAAGGCGGTGAACGAGATGTTTGATGATACTGATAAGAAGGAGATCAAGTAGATGTTTCATGATACTTGTCACACCCCGAAAACCAAAGGCGGAAACGTCTCCGGGGTGGACTACCACGTTGTGTATCAAATCCAATGTACATAGTAATCACAGTAAACAACCATTACATTACATATATATATATATATATATATATATATATATATATATATATATATATATATATATGTATATATATAAGTTTACATTCATTTCAAAAGTAAAGTTATACAAGATATACATATGCATCATATTAACAAAAGTTGAGATGAGTCTTCACGCACTCCGTCTTCATCAAAAGAGATCACTGGGTACCTGTCTAACTTGGACCTGAGAATACAAGCGGTTTGAAAATAAGCGGTTTTGTTTTGTAAAAATGTATCGGTTTCCTTTAGTTTCCGAAAAGGTTTGTTATCCAAGAAAATCCCATATTTTCTTATGTGAAGTTGGTTTAGATCTCATTTGTTACCAATTCGATTACGTGTTGTGTTTTACCCCAGGAAAATCCCATATTTTCCTAATTGTAAGATCAGTTGTATATATCACAAAGTAAAGTTTGATACACAAAACTATATGATGAAAATCTTGGGATCACTATCCCGAAAGAGGTATAAGATGATTTGACACATATGAAAGTATAGATTTAAGATCATGGGATTACCATCCCGGACTAGACACGAGATAATTTGATATATATGGAAATATAGATTGAAAACCGTGGGATCACTATCACATATAAGATATAGTTAAAGACCATGGGGAAAGACATCTCGTACAAGTTATAGACTGATTTCATGGGATTGTTATCCCGAATAGATATAGATTAAAGACCATGGGATCACTATCCCGTATAAGATATAGATTAAAGACCATGGGATCACTATCCCGTATAAGATATAGTTACAAAACCATGGGATCACTATCCCGGACTAGATATAAAATAGTTTGATAATACCATGGGATCACTATCCCGAAAGAGATATAGAAAAAAAAACCATGGGATCACTATCCCGTATAAGACATAGATATAAAACCATGGGATCACTATCCCGTATAAGATATAGATACAAAACCATGGGATCACTATCCCGAAAGAGATAGATATAAAACCCAAACTGTGAATAAGCTAATATTAATACATGTTGTGGATCGGGTAACCATACTAATACGACAACGTGACCTCCTTGACGTTTGTCAGACGTCGAAATGATATCCAGAAATTTGTCACCCCAGGCGTGCCCGCCTAACTGTAGCTAGCAGTTAAGGTGTGGGATTGTCAGTCCCGAATAGATCTATTCACAAATTCCGCGCTCTCCCTCCAGGAGACTCTGGTTACACTTCCGGGGAGGATTTACTGATCATCCATAAAGGGTTGTGACTATCTCACAAACCAGTACTAAACTATTCACAGGGTTCTCATACGATAACGACATACAGATGATTATGAAACATAGTACAGTAAATATAGATACGTACAATGAAATTATCTGACAATACATTCAAATGATACGGAGATAAACTGAATCAGACATAGTTTATCTATTAACTTTATATAGACATCAGCATATGATAGAAAGAACAGTAAAGACCCCCAAATTATTCCCATAATAATTTGATTAGTTTGATTGTTTCCTTAACTAAAATTCATTTAGTTGTTGATAAATCATTCCTTATGCTCAGAATAATACATAAGGAGTAAAAGAGTTTATAAGTTGGTCAGATATTGTTTGAAACATATCAATGTTATGATTTGAAAATAGTTATAGTTTGCTTGTATTCCCCCCCTGAAAACATTGAAAACCGTTAAAAAGCCGTAGGGGTATGAACTCACCAGACGAGATATGAGACGGTTTGGATGCTAAGAGTTGATCCGGAACTTGTAAACACACGAGGTTCCTAATTATGATGTAAAGATACACATTTGAACCTAATTAGGACTTAGATTGATTGAAGGGTAGGGACAATTGCTTCAAGTCGTGAAAACACTCCGATACAAGTGTTAGGAGGGACTCGGGTGGCGTTTAGGGACATGAATGATGCGAGGGACTTAGGAAATGAGTTGGGACTTCAAAGGAACACCCCCTTTAGGGAGTTTACGGCCACAAGACCCATTCCCCATGAGTTTACGGCCATAAACTCATGGTGGGGTCAAATATGGGCAAAAGTGACTTCAAACACTTAGGGGAATTTTTCTAGGTTTGGTTCGAAGTCTTGGAATGGATTTTTAACATAAAAATGACACATTTTAGGGAGTTTACGGTTAAACCTGGGCAGTTATGTAGTCGTGTCTAGGATCAATATAGTCTGGCCAACTATATTCATTCGAGACACGGCCAACATGTGCTTGGGAGTGACTATGGTACGCAGCATGCCTAAAACTTACCTAATATCCCAAACAACAAATCGTCGCTGCAGCGAACCATGAAATACTATGGGAGTATTTCTCGAGTCAATCCTTCGTAGAAAATCCTCGTATACGCGATGTTACTTGATCATTCCTCTAGCGATAAAATGTTCTGTCTTGATAACTCTTTGCTGCTTTATCACTTAGTATGATGCTATATCTGTCTTGATGAGATATCCCCTGTTCCATATCTCTTGATTCAATTCAGAGGACTTATAATCCTCTCTTTCCTGATCTTTTTAGATCAAGATGCCTCCAAGAAAGAGACCCATCTCGAAGAACAACGACAATCCTCCTCCGCCACCACTTTCTCCTCAATTTGATCTCGCATCACTTCAGACAGTTCTGACTGTTGCAATGGTGGCAGCTATATCACAAATGAATCCCGGTGGCTCCGGAGGTGGTCCCCAACCCCAATATCCAGAAGACAGCCAGGAACACCAAAGAGGGGGTTCCTACAAAGACTTCATGAATGCGAAGCCCACAACCTTTGATGGCACTGGAGGTGTCATTTCCCTGACTCGATGGTTCGAGGAAATCGAGTTAATCTTCGAAATATGTGCCTGTTCGGAGTCTGACAAAGTCAAGTTTGCCGCCTGCACCTTCCTTGATAAAGCCCTGACTTGGTGGAACGGCCGAGTCAAATCCTTAACTCTACCTGTAGCAAATGCCATGGGTTGGGAAGCTATGAAGGAGCTTCTGCTTACAGAGTATTGCCCTCGGGGCAAAATTCAGAAACTAGAACACGAACTCTGGAACCTTAAGATGAAGGGTTCCAACATAGCTGCTTATACTTCAAGATTCGATGACCTGGCATTACTCTGTCCGGGAATGGTTACCCCGGAGAGTAAAAAGATAGAAAGATTCATCTGGGGATTGACCCAGCCAACCAAAGGGAATGTCTTGGCTGCTAAGCCAGACACCTACGACAACGCTAAATGCCTCGCGGAAATCTTGATCGATCACGAAGACAACTCTGACGAGGAAGCTACCACTCCCGAATCAGACACAAGTGGAGGTGAAAGTAAAAAGAAATCTTGGAACAAGCGAAAGGCCCTGAGTACGAAAGGGTCTTCGAAGAAACAGCAAACGGTAGCAGTCCATGCTGCTACTACCCCTGTTGCTGTCTCATCTATCGGTTCTACAGGCCAAACCCCCACCAGTGGATACACTGGCTGTCTTCCGTGGTGTGGTAAGTGCAACTACCATCACCGCATTCCTGGTCCATGTCGCGAAAGGATCTGCGACAACTGTGGCAAGAAGGGCCATCTGTCTCGAACCTGCAGAAAACCAGCCAAATCAACGAACCAATCATCGGGAGCAGGAATCAGTCCAGCCTGCTACAATTGTGGTGAAGCAGGGCAATTCAAAAGGAATTGCCCCAAAGCAACTACCACCACTGATCCCTCTGTCGCCGCAGGTAATCCTCTCTTTGATAACTCTTATACTTGCAACTCTTTTCGATTCTCGTGTTTGGAGGGAAACCTGTTATCTATCTATTCGAATGTTCTCTAAACTCAATCCTTCGTATGTGATCGAAATGTGTATCATCGAGACGA